TTCACCGTGCCCATACTCACACTCACTCTAATTACCCAACACATCAACATGTCACGTGACCTCCTTCGATCTCTCACAACCTCCCACGACCGCGATCCGACCGCCACTTCAGAGGTACATCCACAGTGGCCCTTCACAAAGGCATGCACATGCACCAGAGGCGCATGGCATGCCTAGGCATAGCCATTATCGAACTGCCTCCTTGTTGACCAAGTCATGCAAAAACTCATCCATTCTGTAAATTCTCTTGCATAGCGCGTCATCATGCACCTGCACGCAACCAGCCCAGACACACCTCTCACGCAGCATCGTCCAGGAGCTATGGCTTATTAAAGCCCCAGCGTTGCCTGTGCGCCTTCCGGACTGTGCGCATGCTTCGTCTTGTCTGACATGCAACAAATTCAGAATTCATTTGCATTGCAGGCGTCATCCTGCATTCACTCCACACCAGCATGGACTCGTGCTATTCGCTGTAGGCCTTTCAAGTCGTCATGCATCAAATTCATGCATAGCAGTGGCCTTGTGCAGATTCCGCAGTCACATCCAGGTATTTGTGTTGCGCCTGCCGTCTTTTCAGTCCTGTACTCCAGAGTACGCTCACCCTTGTGCAGTGTTTGCTGACATGCAGAGAACGCAAACATCTCTCTCCCAAGCGCTTTGCACTCCATGAAGTTGCAATGCCATCCGACAGTAATGGCTTTCGCCTTTTGCAGAAGGCTTCGCTCCCAGGCATGAACATTCCAGCATAACCGGCGTCATTGATATCCGAGCACCCTCGTCCAGCTACATCATCCTCCGGAATTCGTGTAGCCAGCAAAGGGCATCACCAGTGTGTTGCAACGTCATCCAGCGAGCACCATTGTATGGCATCGTGGCACTCCAGCATCTTCTCCAGCATCTTCACTGAACTGACACGTCCATCTGTTACAGAAAGCTTCCCGCAAGCCTTGAGGGCGTGCATTTCGCAGGAGTCCATCCATGGCGCCAGCACGTGCGGGTTAGTGGTTTCTATAACCGTGGGGTCGGGAGACAGACTAATCCTAACGGAGGCGAGACGACGGCACGACATTTTGGCCCGTTTGTTCAGAGGGAGGGGGAAGGGGGGGGGAAAGGAGAGGAAGGCTCCGCACGGCAGAAGGGCGAAGCCCGTGCTTGCGGTGGACTGCTCCACCGCGTTGGGTCCTGCGCCAAAAACGAAGCGTTTCTTTGTGGGGTTTGGGAAGAGGGTAGTTGTACCATTGGGCTTGCGCTTTGGCTTGAGGTCAGGCAGGGATTTAGCTTTAGCTTGAGGTCCGGTGGGGGTTAGGGTTTTTGTAGACGTCAAAACTCAACTAGTACACCGTCAACCTTCAAGCTAGATACCCCTGGGCCTCATGTCTGCGGTCTAGAGCCTTTGACTGAAGCGCAAACTCTGCCTCACTATGAAGTCACTCGCGGTCCTGGGTTTGCGCTTTGGCTTGAGGTCAGGCAGGTATTTAGCTTTGGCTTGAGGTCGGGTGGGGTTTTAGAGTTTATGTAGGCGTCAAAAACACAACTAGTCCACCGTCAACCTTCAAGCCAGATATCCCTGGGCCTCATGTCTGCGGTCTTGAGCCTTTGACCGAAGTACAGACTCCACATCCCTATGAGGTCACTCGCGCTCCTGGCCTTCATTTTGCATCGGACGTAAATCCTGTGCCCTAGTGGCTCGTCATGGACCATTATGGCTATCTGTACTGGCCGCAACATGCATCAAATTCAGGACAAACAAATTCGAGACTTGAAGCATCATGCACATGCATACATCGCGGACACCGCATCATTCAGCTGCATCATGCATCAAATTCATTCTGGCAACATGCATTCAATTCATCAAATTCATTACACATTACACATGCCTGGCCGCTACACCCCGCCGGTGAGGCGTGGAGGAGTGTGCAACCTGGAATTCCAAAACATGCAACGTCCATGACTATTCTTATGAGATGACGGAAGGCTCCTACCGAAAACTGACACAGCAGGCTAGGCACTACGGGGACCAAGGCTAAAAGTACAAGCAGGAACCATGACCATCATCCGGGATCAGAGCCTTACACGCCGCCCCCCACAAGTTGCGCGATAACGCTTCTGGGAATGCACAAGACTCTGCCATCCGGCAGAGTCACCGGCGTCAAGGCCGGCATTTGTCTCGGCATCGACATTGGGAGCTGCGAGTCCAGGTGCAACAAAGTTGGGCCTTGCTGGTCCGGAGGCGAAGGCTGGGGAGGCGGTGTCCATGTGCCTTGCGGCTGGCCCTGTGCTTGGCCTTGTCCTCCCGGAGGAGTGGGCGAGCTGCCCCCGTCTCCCGAGCTTGCCGTAGCGATTGCTTCCACGGCCTGTCGGACCTGGTCCACACTGTGAATCACCTCGTCGAGCTTGTCGCGCAGGATGACCAGGCG